GCAATGGTCATTCCTGTGAAGCTAAGGTAGAAAAATGTACATCACTCTTACTCTGCATTCCTTTTCTTCTATCAAAATTTTCTCAGGAAATGTTGTGTTGTTTCCTGTGCTACCACTTTTTTGTATCAATTAAATCGTAAGATAGAAAATTAGAAACCCATCTTTGTGTTTTCACTGTTTAGTAGTACTATTGATAAAGGGGAAACAAAAGTATGTCCCCATTTGCACGCTCGTCTGCAAAACCGAGGCTAGCTCTATCTTTCAATTTTTGTATTTTGGGGTTGACTCATTCTTTTGTACCAAGATTATTAATAGTAATACTCTCGGTATAGTTCATTGGTATTTGTACAAGATAGTTAAGATAAGATAGTACATGTTTTCCACTAATCCTGTTGTATGTTTATGTTAGTTTGTAGTAGTGTGTACTATAAATAATGCGAATCATTTTCTTTATCTAAATTAACTGTATTTTATGTGAGTCGTATATTTAGAGATTCGTGTTCTCTTCCTACCCGTGAATTGAGCATTGTTGTTTTTAAAAAAGTTGAGTACCGTAGATTGAGAGCATTGTTATCAAAACAAACAAATACCGTAGGTATCATTTCTCTTGGCTGCAAGAAGACTGAATCATTTGTTTTAAAAAAAGAATCAAAATTTAATAAAGAAAGGTTTGTAGATTGTCATGTACCTCTCGTGTAAGTTAAAAATGTTGACAAGATTTAGGAGTCAAAGAGTCAGTCAAGGCTCAGCCTGTCAATAGTTAGTTAATGGCCTAATGAATGGCTAACTCTCTCTCTCGCTCTCAAAGGGTTGAAACTCGAATATCTCAAAACATTTTGAGTGGCGTGGAGCAGTTATAGTATATCACGAAATGTCACGTCACGAAAAATAAATAATGCTTTTACATACAGAATAGGTTTGTTGGCCCCATCTTAGCCCCAAAACTTTCTCATTTTTCGTAACCAAATGACTCAACAACAACAAATATCAAACCCCGGGCCTACTTGATACGGGCTAAATCTCAAGCCCAATTAACCACATGGGCTTTTATTACACACTCGTGTCTTTTGTGTTATTTTTCTTTCATTCCAAAAGAAAAACAATGAGAATCACACACAAATTTCTCTAGCTAATCAACAAAGCATATTTGTCAATTTGTCATCAAAGATTTTACACACAAAATACCGTATGACTTGAATTTAATTTTAAAATTTAGTATAGTCACTACCAAATAATAATATCCGAAACCATTTGCCTATGGACTCCTATCTCCTCTACCCATTTTAAACCATTTTGTTTTCTCTTCATTTTATAATTTTTTTAATAATTACAAAAAGGAAAATTTGTCAGGATTCAGGCATATAGAGCCCCCCCAGTACCACCCAATACCAAATTCAAGAAAATTAAAAAAAAAAAACTAAAATCAAGTACAAAAACCCATTACTACCAAATAGCTTCTCTTTCTCACTCATCTTCTTCACAACATCAACAAACAAAGATCTCATCTTTTAGTTTAGTTCAGTCCAAAAGAAGTGAGTAATGGATCTTTCTTCTCTTCGAGGCACTTCCACTCTCACACTCAGCTTCATACTTCTCCTCTTAGCTTCCACAGGTATAAACCAGTTCTTGAGCCTGTTAAAG